CAAACGCACTATGTTGGTTTTGTTGTGAAGCGGCTCATTTATAGCATATGCAGCAATATAAAGCTTACCATCAGATCGTCAGCCATATTTAAAAGTAACTAATATTATGCAAATACAACACATTTAAAGTATAAACAATTATTAGCACTATCAAACAATAAAACTATAATCACCTATAGCATAAACAACACTATTAAGCTGTAAATTGTAAGCAACACTAAGTAAACTTTAATCTCTTATAGCATAACTAAAAGTATAAACCTACAACTTATTATGGCATGAGTTGCAATAAAAAAATGTAATCACTTATAGCATGAATAAGGCTATCAAAACTTAAAATCACTTACAGCATAAGAAGCATAAGTTTCAGTACAAAAATGTAATCGCTTAGAGCATAATTTCCAGTACAAACAAGAGCCCGGTTTGAGCCGGGTGATGCTCCCCGAATAGGTTTTGGACACAGGAAAGTACACCTCTTGTAGTTTCAGAGTTATGTCCCTGGAAAAAGTTCAAAGTGCAATAATTCCAAAATTAGGCAAGGCAGAGTTACTGTTCTTTGCACTGCACTTCTAATCAATGTGATCTATCAACCTACAAAATTTCTTGATGATATCTCTTATGATTTCCGAGTTATGTCCCGGACAAAAAAAAAAAAAAAATAAACAAAGGGCAATAACTCCAGAATTAGACAAGGAAGAGTTATCTACCCATTGAGATATATCTACCTACAAAGTTTCATGTTGATATCTCTTATAGTTTTACAGCTATGTCCTGGACAAGATTTTTCTAAAAGGGGAGATAATTCAAAAATGAGGCTTAACAGAGTTATGGTTCTTTTGCACTGCACCTCTACTCAATGAGATCTATCTACCTACAATGTTTCATCTTGACATCTCTTATAGTTTTAATGATATGTTCCGGACAAAGTTCAAAGTGTTAAAATTAACAAAGGGCAATAACTCCAAAATTAGGACAAAAAGAGTTATTGTTCTTATGCACTGCACATCTACCCATTTAGATCTATTCACCTACAAAGTTTCATGTTGATATCTCTTATAGTTTTAGAGTTATGCCCCGGACAAGATTTTTCTATAAGGGGAGATAATTCAAAAACCGGGCAAAATAGAGTTATGGTTCTTTGACACTGCACTCCCCCTCGATGCCCTCTACCACTGTATGAAGTTTCAACAAATTATCTCCAAGGGTTTTCAAGTTATGCTCCGGACAAGACAACGGACGGACAGACGGACAAGGCGCCGACTATATGCTCCCCCGAAATTTTTCGGGGAGCATAAAAATGTTATCAGTTATAGCATAAGAAGCACTATCAAAGTTATTCAAGTATACTTTTAATATCATAATGATATCTAATTTAAGAGAACACATGTTAAAGCTATTTGCCACATAAAATGTTGCTCTATATATGGATTAATACAGAAAATAAAAATAAAACAACATTATACATAATTTGAGACATCACTGAATGAACAATATATTGTATTTAGAAAAAGAATAGAAATAATCTTCCTTAATCAAAATGATATCATAACTTGAAAATGAAATGAAAATAACAACTTATAAATCAGCAGAATTTTAACAATGCATACTTTACTTAAAGTGTTTATGTGTGAAATTATGATTTATTGCAAATATGTAAATCATGCAATTCAAGGCAAGAAGAGAGTAAATATCACTTTCTCCCTATATGTCCCCACTACCTAGATCTTCTAACAAACTATTTTAAACCCTATTGCCATTGGCTGACTAAGAATAAAGTTGATAGTGTTTTGTCATCAGACTCAAAGAAAACTATATGTGCCTTAGCTAAATTTTTGTACTTGGCAAATCTTACACATATTACTTAATCTATTTTTTCTTTATATATAACTTCATGTTTATCATTGAGAAGTCTTGTTTAATCCAATCTTAATTTGAATTCTTTAGAAAACTATATATTCTTAACTGTTATTTTCTCACTGTACATGTGTATCATTGTTTTTCGGCTATAAGCAATGTATTTTGTTTTTATGCTTAAAGATATACTGTGCTCATCCTGGAGTAAAATATTTTAATCACAGAAATTTATTAAAATCAAGTAAATTCTTCCTGAATTTGTCTAATTTGAATAAGTGAATGTATAAACTATGTTTGGGAAGCTTCATTCCCTATTAATTTAGTATATTCTTATAAAAACTGCCAGTTATTTAAATGACACTATGTAATAATACTATGGTTACCTGTATTGTGTAGAGTTTAAAACATACATATTTTCTCTTTGTGTGTATTCAAAAGATGTTTTATTTTACATTTCAAAAGAGACTTTATAGTAATTATCAGTTTTTTTTTCAAAAATCAAATTTGAGCATAGTTTATCTGTAATAAAATTCATATTTGTATTTGCATTTAAGATGTTAAATAATAACATCATTTCACTAAAGGAATGTTGGTTTAAAAACAGAAAACATTAAAACAAATTAAAGCACATACAGTTTTCATAAATACAGAAAACAAAATTAATGCCACTTGAAAAATTATGATAATTGCCTATTTCGCATAAAATTAATTGCCATTTTTTACAGTTAAAATAAATTTTATTTCAATAAATTGTAAATTATAATGATTTAACATAAATCAGTTAACAGTCAAATGATGACCAAAACATTTTTCTAACATAAAGCTAGACACTCTGATTAATATGTAAAAATAGGAAAAATTGACAATTAAACCCCCCAAAAAAGGCCCATTATGCCTAAAAAATACTATCATTTTATTTCACATAAACTTTTTATTTTTGGTATCTTGTTACAGTTTTAAAAGAATTACTTATTTGCAACATGGATGAACTTTTACTTCTTTTGTTCTGTTGGCAATTGTTATAATTATAGTGAAACGTATTTTGTTTGGAAGTCAAAATACTACTTTGTTTTTAAACCACTTAATAAATGTATGTTCAAAATCCGTTATTGAATCATTATTAAACAAATGTTCAACATTTCTAAAAACTAAAAAATATGGATTTCTGAGGCATAATGTGCTTTAAATGTACATCAAATTGGACTACAATGTAAATAAAAGAACGTTTAAATTGCTTTAAGTTAAAATTTGTGACAAAGTGCTAGTTTCTGTACAAAATAAGTTGTACATTTTCTGTATATTATATGTAACATACAATAATAATACATATGTGTATAAAAAGGTGAATATATAAAAACTGTGAACACTAATGGTCTATATAAAATGTGAACAATAAATCTAAGTTCCTAAATTTTTAGTAAGTTTTATCAACATAATTAAAAAGACTTCTTTTCTAAACATAAAATTATTAACAATATCCATAACACAAGAGCTGTCCGTAAGACAGCGCGCTCGACTTTTTTATTGCTTGCCAATAAAAAAAGTTTTTGCAGTAAAAGGCAATACAAGAATCTCTGTATTTTTAAAGTGAACAATGGCCATGAGCATTAAGATATTTAGTGAAGAATTATTTTACTGAATTGTGTGATACCCTTGAACACTGCAGGTTCAGTGGATAGGAATGAATTTTTTTAGATTTTTTAAGTTTTTTAGTGCTTGCCTATAATACAAAACATTGACAGTTAAGGGCCATAATTCAAATAAAATCTTTGACAGAATTACCTTCTCCTGGACATGTTTGGGAATCATGATTGTAAACAAGTATTCCAACTTTCAAATTAATATCTCAAACAGTTCAGTCAAAAAGTGGACTGGTACTAAAAACTTAACCAAGATTCTAAGTCGATAAAAGGCCTTAATTTTTAAAACAAATCCTTGACAGAGTTACCTTCTCTTGCGTACAGATGGGGGTAATGATGTGAAATAGCATTAAAAGTTTCAAAGCAATATTCTCAAAGGGTTAAGGCAATAAGTGGATTTTACCCATATTCAATGTATTTTCTAAGTCAAAAAGGGGCATAATTCTGTCAAAAACCTTGACAGAGTTATGTCCTCTTGTCTGTTGATGAAGGTCGTGATGGTAAACAAGTATGGTCAGTTTCAAAGCAATACCTCCAATGGTTTTGAAATAAAGTGAGGTGGTACAAAAAACTTAACCAAGCTCAATACACTTTCTAAGTCAAAAAAGGGCCATAATTCTGTCAAAAACCTTGACAGAGTTATGTACTCTTGTCTGTAGATGGAGGTTATGATGGTGAACAAGTATGGTAAGTTTCAAAGCCATACTTGTAATACTTCTGAAATAAAGTGGGGTGGTACGAAAAACTTAACCAAGGTGTGACGCCGACGCCGACGCCGGGGCGAGTAGGATAGCTCCCCTTTTCATAGAAAAGTCGAGCTAAAAAAATGGAAACATTGTTACTGAAATAACAAATATACATGTATTTTGTAAACACCAATTAGAGAATAGTGTACAGGTAAAAAATACATAAAATATAGAATAAGGGTGTCTTATGAACAGGTCTGAAAGTTTTGTTTTTTTATATTCTGGGTTCTATCAAGGATCTCAGAATTTTCAATGGTCATTGCACAATTATTATTCAAGTTCCTGACCAATTAAATACCTGAGATTTGAGACTGAGCTTAGAAAATATCTTAAGACTTTATAAATTTCAACCCTCTTTGAAGGTTCCTTGTTTTCCTAAGTGAAAATTTTTTCTATGGTAATTCTATGACCATGTTTTGTGAACAGGGTACTGTGCTTTCTTTCTGTGAACTGTCCACATAATTTCTGTAGAAATTTTCTGACATGTTTTCCATAAGTCTTTTTTTTTCCTTCTAAACAATAATAAAGTAACATAGTTACAAATAAATATTCAACGTTTTTTTAATCAAATAACAAACCATTATTACCTGTCAAGTGAAATTGTTTTAATGGCTAAGAGGGTCAACAACAGGCAGAATTTAACATAAACATGGGTAATACAAAGTGAATCTACACTTGTGACTGTGCTCTTTCTCTATTCACTATAATAGTCATTATCAAGGAAAGATAACTCTTCACTACTAAACAAGTTCTCTTTTAATGGAGGTACAAAAGTTTATGTATCTCCGTCATCATGAACTCCGTTCTTTTGTTTTCCTGATTTAGGAAATAAAACCTGTGAATGAAAAGAAAACAAGAAATTTAAAGCATTATAAATAAATCAGTCTAACAAAATTTTCTCAATTAAATAATAGGACATCTTTTGTTACTATTTTTTATGTGATCATTTCTATCCTGATTTAGTGTAATTGACTTGTCCTGCTTTATTTTTGGAACAGTCAAGTACTAACTTGTATTAAGATTGGGGACCTTTCTGTTGAAAATTAGTGACAGTTATATCATATACATATACATGCACAGTGCGTTAACTGGAATGCAGGTATTAGATTCCCACACTCCAGAGCATGCCCATTGATCGGCTCTTTTTTTTCTGAAGTTTACTTAATGCGACAACAGGGAAAGAGATAACGATAGAAAAGTCATATTAAGATGCTGGAACATTGGTTACTTTGGATAAAATATATAAAATATACCAACTATATGTTTGTTCAAAATTTCTCACCTTTTTAGCAAATGTTGGCAAAACAAAAGCAGCTTTATGTATTTCTGGATTATAAAACTTTAACTGCAGCTTGTCAATCATGGCATCTGTAAACTTTCTAACTGGCTCATCAAAACAAATATCCTGTGAAAATATTATTATAGAGAATAATAATGATTTAGTTATGGAAGCTATAAGCTTCTTAAAACACTCTCAAATCTGTTCCTGGAATCAACCAGTACTGAACAATGAATGTGAAGTTTCTTGCTAAAAGAAACAACGGCTTGCACCTGACAGGGTTTGAACCCACGTGGCCAACAATCCTTAGATTACTAGTCTGCGTGTTAAGCACTTGGCCACGACGCCGTTTGATTTTAAATAATGATTTTAAAGGCCCATTAAGCCTCATAAATGATATAGTTCTATTTCTGATTTTTCAAAAGTTTTTTTTTTTTTTTTGGTGTCCTGTAACAGTTTTCAAATAGTTACTCATTGGTCATATTAAATCTGTGCCATCTTTTGTTTCTTTTACATTTCAGTAATCAGTACAGTTATAGTGAATTAGTATTTTGTATGTTAGTCAAAATACTGCTTTGTTTACATTTTGATACCTTTATGGCAATTTATTTAATATTCAATATTATTTTATTCAGGTGATGAGCATCTTGCATGTTAGAATCAATTATAACAACATCATTTAACACAAAATTGCTCTTCATGCATAATGATAATTTTTTTTATTACCAAAGCCAAGGATAATGGGCCTTTAAATAGGTCCATTTCAATGTAACAAAATTTGCTTTCAGTTGTAGTGTAAAAAGCTGTTGTGTTATTTAAGTCTTCACAGGGGAGCATTTACATCAAAGTACCAAAATGGAGTGAACTTAAATCTATTTTCACAAAAATCTTTGCCAAATTAACAAAACTTAATTCCTTCAGGAAAATTTCTGATTTCACATTATACTCTTAAAGTAACCAATTTATTTAAACATTTGCTGATTGGATTTTTTTTCAGAATCTTTAAAAAAATTGCACAAATCTGAGGGATGTACTGCCTTCAAACGAATAAAATACATACTGGATTAATGCTGGCCATAACAAATCCAATCTGCCCACCAGCGTATGTGGGCATGCTGGCAAATGCATATCCTGTACTTGGAAATAAACTGCGGCACCCTGACAACAACTTCTCCACTATATGAAGATCTAACCACAGGTTTTCTCCTGTAAAAAAACAACAGTATAATTCAAGGAAGAACAGCCATTACACCAATTAGACAACACCCTCCATCTTCTCTCATATATCAGATCATTGAATAACTTCTTCACAGGAAAGGTGTCACTTCTATACTAATTCAGGAACAAGCTAGTACCCATGTTCAAACCACAAACCATCTCTAAACTATCTGCATAGTATCTTCACATGAAAGAATCCAATTGAAAATTGAACCCGCAGCAGTAAGCTGCAAGTGATTTGCTACAAAAAATGGCAGTTTCTATAAGCTAAAGCATTCTTACTTATACACAATATACCTGAACATGACAGATTCATTCAAAAACAAGAGGGCCATGATGGCCCTGAAATCGCTCACCTGTATATAGGCCCCTGGGCCAATGCCAATTTTATATTTGAACAAAACTTGGCAGACAGCCATTAGATGTTTCATGATAAATATCTAAGCTCTAACTGTTTGGGGTTTTTATAAGAAGATTTTTTAAGTTTTTACTATATACATACAGGAAAAAACAATGACCCCCCCCCCCCTTGGAGGGACCAATTTTGACCCCAAGGCTTTTTTTTAAACAAACTTGGTAGACACCCATTAGAAGATGTTTCATGCTAAATATCTTAGCTCTAGCTCTTTGGGTTCTTTAAAAGAAGATTTTTTAAGTTTTTACTATATGCATATAGGGAAAATCAATGACCCCCTGGGGCGGGGCCAATTTTGACCTCAGGACTTTTATTTGAACAAACTTGGTTGACACTCACTAGAAGATATTTCATGCTTAGTTTCTTAACTCTAGTTCTTTGGGGTTTTTTAAAAGGAAAAAGGAATTTTTTTTTACACATATACACATTCAAGGAAAATCAATGACCCCTGGGGTGGGGCCAATTTTAACCTAAGGGTCCTTATTTGAACAAACTTGGTAGACACCCGTTAGAAGATGTTTCATGCTAAATATCTTAGCTCTAGCTCTTTGGGATTTTTAAAAGAAGATTTTTTTTAAGTTTTTACTATATACATATAGGGAAAAACAATGACCCCCTGGGGCGGGGCCAATTTTTACACTAGGGCTTTTATTTCAACAAATTTCTTAGACACCCACTAGAAGATGTTTCAAGCTTTATATCTAAGCTCTAGCTATTTTGGTTTTTCAAAAGAAGATTTTTTTAAGTCTTTACTATATAGTATATACAAAATAAGGAAAATCAATGACCCCCTGTGGCATGGCCAATTTTTACACCAGGGCTTTTATTTGAACAAATTTCGTAGACACCCACTAGAAGATGTTTCATGCTTTATATCTAAGCTCTAGCTATTTTGTGGGTTTTTAAAAGAAGATTTTTTTAAGTTTTTACTATATATAAATAAGGAAAATCAATGACCCCCCCCCCACCCCCGGGCCAATTTTGACCCGAGGCATTTATTTGAACAAACTTGGTAAACACTGACTAGGTGATGTTTCATGCCAAATATTTAAGCTCTAGCTCTTGTGGTTTTCTAAAAGAAGATATTTTAAGTTTTTACTATATACAAATAAGGAAAATCAATGACCCCCGGGGCGGGCCAATTTTGACCCCAGGGCATTTATTTGAACAAACTTGGTAGACACCCACTAGAAAATGTTTCATGCCAAATATTTAAGCTCTAGCTCTTGCGGTTTTCTAAAAGAAGATATTTTAAGTTTTTCTTTCAGTTGCCATGGCAACCAGAGTTCTGCTTGGAATTAAATTCTTTGAACAATTTTTAAAGTGGTTTATGAGGAGATGTCCTTTAAAGTAAAAGTTTACGGACAGAAGGACACCGGACGGATGCCGGACGAAAAGTGATCATAAAAGCTCACCATGTCATTTTTTGACAGGTGAGCTAACAATTTATATTTTGCCATTGACCTTTGTGAAATCATAATCATCACTTCATTACTCATTTACAAATTCTAGTAAGAAAATTTGTGTTTTATGAACATGTTTTCAATTCAAGTCTACCTGATGACTTTTGGTTTAAACATACTTAATTAACATAACATTTAACATGTGAACACACTTTACAAAATACATTTATGGATGGGGCAGAAAGCTATAAAAGCTTATGACTGTCCTCCCCCATGATGATGACTTTTTATCAATCTCGTTGTTTGTTGTGGGTTAAGTCACAGTTTCAGTGTGAATCAAACACTTGGCTTGTACACATACTATAGGATTTCTTACATGAAAGAATACATGTACATTTTCTGCAATAGGATATGAACCTACAGCATTCAGTGACTAGATAATCAAAGTTTGAGACCAAAACCAGTACATCTCAATATACTAGTATCAAACAGAGTTTGCAATTCCCATGTAATTTTGTTGTGATTATAATTCTTCTGAAGGATCACCTTTTCTCCAGACCTGTTTGTTGTGGCATTATTATAATATTGAAACAACTAACTAATGATATATACAAACCTTGACTGCAAATAATTCCATCTGGTTTAAGAGCTGCCTTCAAACATCTGTAATAGTCTAATTCATACAGGCCTTTTGCTGCCCCTGTAACAATACATCAAGATTCAGATTGAACTATAACCATGCAGTTGAATCTTTTTTACAGTTATACAGTCTGTTTAACTTTTATATCAAGAGGTTAGTATACATTGTTGAGTACAATACTGAATTCTATTGGACGAGTACATAGCTGTCAAACCTATATTAACTTCTTCATTTCACACCACCTACATGTATTTTTGACATTTTAACAGAACTTTACTTCCGAGTTTCAAATTTGATAAGAATTTTTGGTCTTTGAATGAGAACAAGGCTAGATGGAGTACAATATGGCTTTGATATTGTTTTTTTGGCATGGGGAAATGAAAACTATCCTGTTTTAGACAAGCTACTAAACAAACCATGCAGATTAGTAAAATGATTAGCCTTTCTTAAATGGACCTGAATAGCTTCCATTTTTGGGACTGCACATTATCAATTTCAGGAATATCAAAAAGAAAATTCGAAGGTAATCTACAAACAGTGTGAATGTGCTGACTGACCTGACTCTACACTGATGGCAAAGGCTTATCAGTTTTGGTATCAGTATGGTAGCAATAAAAACATGAATGTATGTGCATTGTACCTGAATACACTATACAAATGACATCATGTGGCAGCATGGCTGAGTGGTTAGGTTACAAGTAAAGATAACTAGCTTTGTGGGTTCAAAACCCACACATGTGAACTTTTTTCGATGATCAAGTGGGAAAATTGTCTTCAAAAAGAGGGAGATTTTAGTATTTGCAATAAACAAACAAGAAAGTTCTGATATCAAAAAGTGGGAGATTTCTTTAATTTGTTAAAATACCCATTATTTTAAGAAAAATCTTTGAAAATATGGCTGCAGAAAGTTGTAGCCTCCCGCTTAAAGTGGGAGAGTTCACATGTATGAAACCCCAGTCAGTGGTTCATGCAATGGACTAGTAAACTAAGGATCGCTAGCTACCAAGTCCATGACAAGCCCTTGTTTCCCTGAGCAAGAAACTTTACACTCACTGCTCAGTACTGGTTAGTTCCAGAAACAGATTCTAGAGTGTGTTTTTTAGCTTATAATTCCTACATAGTGAAACTGAAATAAATTCTGTATGAACTATGTGGCATTTTTCTGAACATTTTAAGGCATCCATTAACTTACCAATGGGATCTGGTGCATCAGTGATAATTACATCAAAACAATTTTTATTTTCTTTCATATACTGTACGCCATCACCAACATGTACATAGCACCGGGGATCTGCTAGAGAATTGGCCATGTTTGGAAGAAACTCCTTACATACTTCTATCACTTTCTGTCAAGGGAAAAAAACAGAACATTTTCCTTCTTTATTATACGATTGCATGTATATACGAGAATAAACTTCAGTAAGAATCTAGGATTTAAGGGGTAAAAGTAAAGTAAATCGAACTAAAATTATAGTTAATCTGAAATTGTATATCATTTTGAAAATGTTTGTAATTCATACTTCTTCTATGATAATTATATTGTTTGTCTGATATTATGATGACAATATATTTTATATAAAGCGAATAATGCAATAAAATTAATATACATAATATGAAATAGAACAGCAGTTTTCCCTAAAATCATTGGTTGAATAAGTCATAATAGAATGATTCCAGCTGTGTATTATAAACTGTTCTGATGACTTTGTTTATTGGACTCAATAAGACACACAAACACTGTAAAGGTTAGATGTTTATTTTACTCTAGCGGCTAAGATGGCCTTTTTGCATTATATCTGGCACATTAAGGCACCTGAGTAGAACCACTCACCTTCTGTAAGCTGAATATAAATGAAAGAATCCAAAGTCCCTGGCGGAATTCAAACCCAAACGCAAACCTGTCAGGAGCAATTGATTTGAAGTCAGCAATCTTTGCATTTGTAATTTGATTCTTTAATCTCTCTAATTTTGAATGAACTGCTCCATATTCAAAGCTGGGAGAATCCATTTCACACATACAGTAGGTTGAGGAATAAGTTGTGTATCATGCTGTAAGATTTTTAACCTTTTACCTGCAGGTTAATAAATTTATTAAAACGAGGTCTTACCTCATCAATTTCACACAGTGTTACTTTTTCGACAGTGTTATGTTTAAGCACCTCCCTAACCACACCCCCATCTCCTCCTCCTACAACAAGTACCTGCAAAAAGAGATGTAAGAACATTGATTGATTGATTGATTAATTGATTGATAAAGCCAGAACAGTTTTATGACCTTTGTTTATTAAAAAATGAAATTGTCAGGCATTCATATCAGTGGATATCATATCTCATGCCCAAGAACAGACTTAAGCAATGATAATTCAATCTTCAAAATTAACATCCTGGAATTAAACTTTCTCTCAGTATATAAGTACTGAAATTACAGAGTACTGTCCACATCAATACATAAACAGTAAAGTTTATTTAACAATTACAATGTAAAACTGCTGGAACCAAGTCAGTCTGAACATCTGTGCAGTCTGACCACGCAATATACCAGTACATGTACTACATGTATGCATAGGTTCCCTTGACCTGTCTAATTCTAATTATCAGATTAGTGGATACAACAAGAATTTCACCACAACATATTTGTTAACAAAAGAGCACATGTCAATGTTTGTGGTTAAATATATTGTTATTCAAATTAAAGGTGATCTATCAATTATTGGCTGACCAACTTCAAATTGTTCATGTTCATTATATCCCTAAAACTGATAATGAACAGTTCTAGACATAAAATTCGGAATCGTCCATTTAAAAACTGACAGCTGGATAAAGGACTGAAACAGCTGTTCTGTATACTGCAAGATTAATACAATACCTTAATATAAGGTACATGCTTGACAGCATATTGCAGTACATATACCAAACAGGTAATTAATTAAGTTAACATTTGTTAATTAAAGGAAATGCAGTGACCATATGTTACAGAATCATTTCTTTCTTTACAGATTTTGTTTGACTTCCTTTGCTTTGTAACAATTCATTAATGTTTATATTGATTATCCTATTGATGGCTTATTCTGCAAGCAACAACAGTTCATTCAAACAGCACATTTTTCAGCATTTGGGGAATGGCGATTGTCCCTTTCTGAAGGGGAAAATTGCTTTGTAACTACTTTAATAGGAACACAAAAAATAAAGTTATATTCAGGTAAATGAAATTCATCTTCAGGGAAAAAAAAATATTAAAAAACCCATACTTTTCTTCCCTTAATATCAAGAAGTAAACACAATGTGCTAAAAATTCATTTTTTATGTTATTGTTATGAAATTTGAAACTAATCTTTTACTAGAAGAGTATTCTTTTAGGATGGTAAATCTGGACAATATTTCTAAGCTGGTTAAAATGTTTATGTTAACTTTTACTCATTTTTGTTGTAAAACAATTGAGTCAGTAACAGTCCAGGACATTGGCACAGCTCAGTTATTTTTAGATTATGAGCATGCCTCATTCCAAATTTGGAAAGGTCGCGCAGACAAAGGTCGCGCGACACTTAAGGTCGCGCAATAGGAAAGGTCGCGCAGAATCAGCTTTCCCAGGCATGCTAGTTCCAAATATGGAGAGGTCGCGCAATAAGAGGTCGCGCAGTCTAAAAGTACAAGGTTTTAAGTTATTTTTAGCCCTTCAGCATCTCAATTGTTGTTAACAAAGCATAATTTGGTCATATCAGATTTTATGAATGGGATTCCTTACTCACAGCTTTATCTATGTACAGGTTACTTGGTTCAAATGTTGAGCTGTATGTTGTAAAGCTGGAGAGATTATATTTCTGTTGTTTAATGAATTATCAGTCAGTATTATAAGTTTATAGAAATGTCAATCAGTAGTAAGTGTATTGGTCTTATAAGCCATATATAGTACATACATCTTTATTACTGCAAGAATATTTTGCACTATTAAGATGCATTATTGGACAGATAATAATTATCCTATTGAGTGTTCAAACATGTAAATTTATATAACTATTATGTATTTTTGTACTAATGTTTGTATTGTACAACAGTCTGTATACCTGAACCAGTTGCAGGCCATTTTGAACATTGTTAAGGCATTGTCAGCATTTTAAAAGGTCGCGCAACATTCAGGTCGCGCAATGAGTTGTGGTGCAAAACTGGAGAGGTCGCGCAATAAGAGGTCGCGCAACAGTCTACTTTTGCACACCACCCTAGCTGCGCAAACAGAAGGGTATATAAGCTGGGAACTTTTCTAGCTGGGTTAGTTTTGGAGTTTTTGAGGAGTTTTGGAGTGAGTTGGAGTTGGTTGAGTTGAGTTAGTTAGTAATTGCAGAAATGTATTTGTTGAAGTTGTTAAGGATTTTACTTTGGTTTTGACTGTTGATAGAGAATAAAATGATGCATTATTTTGATTTACTGCAATAAATATAATCCTGCTTTCACTTGGACTTGACTTGTTCATTTTACCAGCATAGAGAAATGGTTTACTTTTAAGCGAAAAAAGTGAATAAACAAAGCTTTTCACAAAAAGTGAAATGATTCCGTAACACTGGTGGCAGCGTCGGGATAAGAACTTTAACATGCTTCAGCATAGGGATAGAGACTTTGATTTTTTCTACTTTTGAGTGTAGTGGACTTACAAAAAAATGGAAAAGGAATTAGAATCATTGCGTCAGACTGTTTCTTTGTGCTGTTTAGAAATAGGAAATATCTCCAAAGAACTAGTTAGTCATAGTGAAAATCTTACAAGTGCATTTAGTGATTTTTGTAACAAAGTGAATGAAATTTTAGAAATGAAAAATAATGAAATCAGTGAATTAAAATCATATAATGCAAAATTACGTGCTTCTATGTTAGACGATGACACTCAGGTTTTAGAAGAAAGTCAGTAATATGGGACCTAAGAAATCTGCTAGATCTGCATCAGCATCACGTCTTGAAAATTCAGAACTTACAATGGATTTACGTCAACAACTTTCCAGAAAAATTGATGAAAATGATGATTTACAAGCAAATTTAACTAATGCATTGGCAAATATTGAGAAATTAAATGAAACTGTCAAAATTTTACAAACTGAAAAAGTTGGATTACAAGAAATTATAGAAAGTGAAAATGAACAATTTCGAAGAGATAAGGAAAATTTGAACAGTCTATATCATACAACTCAGACGAATAGAGACAGACAAATCCAAGTATTGTCAAATGAAATTGATGAATTACAAAATATTTTACAATCAAGAGATGTTGAACTTAGTCGCCTGCAGAACATTGCATTACGAGAAAGTAACCAAAGAAATTCTCGGGATTATAATGTTCCACTACCAAACCAGGTTCTTTTTGATGGTAAAACGTCATACACCGCATTCATACGTCAATTTGCTGTGTTGGCTGAAACATGCCAATGGAGTGATAAAGAGAGGGCATTTCGCTTGCTGAATAGTCTGAGGGATGATGCAGCAGAGTTTGTATTCAACCAGGTCAGTCCTGAAACTCAACAATCTTACACACAGCTTGAGCAATGTCTAGCAGCAAGATTTGTAGAAAGACGTTCTACTGCCTCTTATCTGATGGAGCTCGAAAATGTCAAGCTTCACTCAAGGGAAAAACTCGTGGAGTATGTTGCAGATATAAAGCGTCTGGTTCGAAAGGGCTACCCAACTGCAGATGATCATACTATTGGTACAATTTGTTTACGGCATTTTATTAGAGGTCTGGGTGACTCCCAGATGGCTCTGGCTATAGGGATGAAGGATCCGACCAGTATCGAAAATGCACGCGAGATTCTGGAGACGTATTATAGTTTGAAGGATGAAACTAAGGCAAACACCAAAGTTCGAATGGTTCGTCAAGGGAACAACAATGTTTCTCAAGAGCAGTTTTTGTCTTTCAAGAAAGAAATAGATAAAAAATTTGATGAGATTCTGTCTGTCATTAAAAAGCAAGATATGCAGCCAGAAAAATTCAAAAGAAGGGATTTATCTACTGTTGAGTGTTATAAGTGTCATAATATTTAGGTCATTATGCACGTGATTGCACGAGTCAGCAGAGTGATAAAAATAATGCGGAAAACTAGGTGGGACTAAGGCAGACGGCCTTGCGTTAGTCCAAAATCATATTGAAAAAAGTGATAAAAATTCATTTTAATGATACCTGCAATGGATTATCTTTGTTATTACCTGTGAAATTTGGTGATATCAGTGCAAATTTAGTAGTAGATACTGGAGCAGTTGTTACTATTGTTTCTTCTAATATCTATCATAGTGTGCCTTCTGATATTCGTCCATCATTGGAGAAAATTGATCCAAATTTTAAGCTTGAAGTTGCAAATGAAGGGTATCTCCCTATTTTAGGTAAAACTGTGATGAGTTTTAAAATTCATAAGGATATATTTAAGTTCAATGTGTTTATTGCACCAATTCAAGAAGATGGTCTTTTAGGTCTTGATTTTCTACAAGAAAATAATTTTGTGTTAAGTGCAGAAAATGGTTTGCGTCTAAACGGAAAGAAGTATCCTACGTTGATGGAATCTTCAGTTTTCAAAGTGATGCGTGTCAAAGTTCAAAGTCAGTCATTGTACCAGCAAATAGTGAAGTGATAATAGAAGGTAGTTGTTCTGGCGGCAAAATTGATACCGAGTTTGGAATTGTTACGCCATTAAAAACAGGTGATGATAGTGAAAATAGCTTAATTGTTGGCCATACGCTGGTCAACCCTCATTCTAAAAATGGTTGTGTTCCAATTCGTTTAATGAATATTAGCAATGAAAATGTAAAAAATTGAAGCTAATACTACTCTTGGATATATTGAGAATGCTGAAAAAGTTAGTTTTTGTGAGAAAAATGAGTGTTTTGTTAATGAAAAGTGTGACTCAAAGCTTCCATCTCATTTAAATGAGCTTTATGAAAATTCAGTGAAAAATCTTAATTATGATCAAAGAGTGAAACTTAAGAATCTTTTGATTAAGCATTCAAATGTGTTTGCAAAGTCACCAAATGATTTCGGTCGTACATCTGTAATAAAGCACAACATCAATACTGGGGCAGCAAAGCCTATTAAGCAACGCCCTAGGCGCCCACCAAAAGCTTTCGCAAATGAAGAAGAGAAAATAATTAAAGATCAGTTAGCGGCCAATGTTATTCAGGAAAGTAATTCTCCTTGGGCGTCACCATTAGTATATGTCAGGAAACGTGATGGAAC